CGCTGACAGTGTGAAGAATGGCTTCAGCTGTAATTAGCGACCCCGCGGCTAATCACTATGTACATTTACATTTTAAGTGCTGCAGAGGGAGCGGGGGAAGGGGAGGGGACCGGCGGGAGGGAGTGGGCCTTTTCCGCGTTCTTCCTTCTCCCCCCAGGAGCGAGGCGAACGCTAGTCTTTTAGAGCAGACGGTAGCGGAGGCGGGTGGGGGCGACGGCGGCCTCGAGGGCCAGCCTGTGCGGGCGCGGAACCGCCCCATCCTCACCCAACAAAACCCTGAAGCTCCCAGGCTCCTTCCTCCGAATTACAGACCCCGGCCTCATAATCGCGAGCAAGCGTTCAGCACAGGCTTGCATATACCCGGAGACCGAAAGCTCGCTCTTCCCCCAACCAGCCCGTTCCAACGTGGTTTCCAGCCCTTTGGGGGCTTTTTCTCCCGCCCAGCCGAAACTGCCGCCCTCTAAGAGCCACCACGGCCTGGCCTTACAGAGCCCTGGGTGTCCCGCGCAGCCGCGCGCAGCAGGCAGTCTTTGTGTCTTCCCCAGGCTGCTGGCCTCCAGCACCTAAGGTAGGTCCTCCAGGAGACCGCTGGGGCGGGGCCCAAGTCCCGGTTCCGAGCATACCCCGAGGGTGTGCCGGCAGGGGCGCACAGGTCCGCCCCAAGGGGTGGCAAATGGGTAACCCCCAGGTTCTGAATCGCAGGGGCCGAGCGCTGCCGCAGGTGGCGAGGAGGCGAGATCAGCCGTAAGGAGGGAGAAGTGTGCCCAGCAGCCCCACCTGAATCTGGGCCCAGCTCGCCCCAGCTCTGCGTGCCCCTCCCCGCCACACCCCGTTAGAATCATCCCCCGCCGCGGACCAGACCGGCCTCAGCTCTGACTGCGCGAGAGGGACGCAAAAGGATGAAGGGCGAGGCCCGAGGGCAGTTGTAGGGAGAGTCGGGCTTCTCAAGCCCCCTCCCTTGCATCGAAAGTCCTTCAGCCCCAACCTCATCTCTTTCTCTGCTGCTCCTCTAACCCTGCAGGAGACCCGGGCCACTCTCGGTCCCGTGGAGTTTCCGAAGAGGGGCATCCAGTAGCTTCGTAATGCCCCCAAGGCTCAACTCCCTATCTTCCTCCCTTCTCTCCCTTAAAACCTGCCTTCACCCAGTCTCCTTTTTGAAAAAGGACCCCACTGGGTCTCAAGGGACCAAGGTTGACAGAATTCCACCTGGGAGCAGGGGGATCCACGTTAGCAGGGATCCACGTTAGCAGGGAACCACGCCCGCTTACCCTAAAGCTCGCAGCTCTAACCGCGGGCTTCCAGGCACGGGTGGCGGGAGCGGAACGCCTCTGGCGAAGAGGTCCGCTGCGCTTCCCCGTCCGCCTCCGGGTAGCCTGGCCCTAAGCCTCGCCCCCCGTGTCCCAGGGGCGTACGGGGGTCGGGAACCTCGCGCTCCGGACAGGCGTGGCAAGGCTGAAACCTGGGTCTCTGGAGCCCCGCGAGAACCACGCCGCGACGCTGTCGTCCGAGGAGGAGCGCGGAGCGGAGCCGGAGCCAGCGCCTCCCGCACTCTGCTGACCGTGCACTGGCTGTCCTTGAGGCGAGAACACTCGAAGCGGAACGGAGGGGGTGCTCCCTTGAGAGGAGGGGGAGCGGGGCCCCGGCAAGCCTCTCGGGAACCTCTCCCGGGGAAAGGACCAGGGGCGGCCTTCAGGTGGAACGGGGAAGGGGTCGGGGACCTGGCTTGACGCGGTGCGTGCACCCCAAGCGCAGTTTTTACTTAGGTTGCCGTTTATGAGGTTGGCTCGCGGAGGGCCGCTGACGATTACAGTGGAACTTCCCCTTCCAAACCAACCCGTGGCACTGCCAATGCGCCCCGCCGTGCGCGACGCCCCCACGCGGGGTAGCTGAGGACTGGGACTTGACGCGAGAGGCCGGAGAGGCTGGGACGGGGGCGGGGCCTCCGGGCTCCCGGGCGGGGCCTCGGCTGAAGGCGCTGAGCACCCGGCGCCGAGAGCGCGGAGTCGCGCGGCGCCCACTCGAGAGAAGTGGGGCGGGATCGCGCCGTCCCAGCCCGCCCGCCAGCGTCCACGACGCTCCCGCACCCTTACCCCTCTGGCCCCTGCAGGGCGCGACCGGAGACCATGCAGCCGCGGAGCTGAGGCGACCCATGGCCAAAGTCAGCGGGCCCGGAGACGACGGCGCATGGAGAACTTCCGTAAGGTGCGCTCCGAGGAGGCGCCCGCGGGGGGCGGGGCCGACGGGGACGGCCCAGGATCCGGCCCCTTCGCCGACCTGGCGCCCGGCGCCGTGCACATGCGGGTCAAGGAGGGCAGCAAGATCCGGAACCTGATGGCCTTCGCCACGGCCAGCATGGCGCAGCCAGCCACGCGCGCCATCGTCTTCAGCGGCTGCGGCCGGGCCACCACCAAAACCGTCACGTGCGCCGAGATCCTCAAGCGCCGCCTGGCGGGCCTGCACCAGGTCACGCGGCTGCGCTACCGGAGCGTGCGCGAGGTGTGGCAGAGCCTCCCGCCTGGGTCCACGCCGGGTCAGACGCCTGGCGAGCCGGCCGCCAGCCTCAGTGTACTTAAGAACGTGCCCGGCCTCGCCATCCTACTTTCCAAGGACGCACTGGATCCACGACAACTTGGCTACCAGCCCCCAAATCCCCATCCTGGTCCCTCGTCCCCGTCAACCGGGCCAACGTCCAAAAGGAGCCTAGGGGAACCTGGAGCTGGAGAAGGCTCCGCGAAGCGGTCGCAGCCTGAGCCAGGGGCTGTGGACGAGGACCAGACGGCCTGAGAACCTCAGACTCCGGTCTTGGGGGTCATCTAGACATCTCCCAGCACCTCCACCTCCAGACGCACCTCCAGCCTTTCACGAGTGGGTCCTCTGGACCCCACAGCCTGGACACAGCGCCTCAAACAGGTAGCATGAACCCCAAGGTGACAGGAGAAGGGCCCCAGGAGTGGCAGTAGAGGATCCCCGACGACGCCAGGGAAGCTTAGTGAGATGGCCGCGCCTACGGCTGTGTTGCCTGAAGACGTGGAACTCCACCTTCACCTTTTCTGGGCCATACTGGGACCTTCTTCGGGAAGGGGAGGGTGGGCAGCTGGGCTCTTGGAACCCTGTTTGGGACCCTCAAGGTTAAAGGCACCCACCTCGGCCTGGATCATGAAGGGGACCTGGATCCTGGAAGTCAGGGAGAGCCCACGCTATTGAGAGAGGAGTGCAGGGGGTGAGAAACTGCTGAGGGTAGGCAAGTCTGAGATGTGGGGGCCCTATTCTGTCCCCAACCCTGGGACAGTTTCCTTTCTAATTTCCTTCTCCTGCCTCTGAGGAGCATCCTGAGATTGCAGTGGCAGAGGCATCTGCCTTCCCTATGCTGGCCCAGAGGGAGAGACCCAGGACAGAACTCCCATGCCTCCTCCCCTGAGTCCCATAGCTGGAGTCTTGCTTCCAATAAAACAAACACAAAAATGGCTCTGTCCCCAGGTTTCTTCCTAACCACCTGCATGTTCAGAGACAGCTCTGGCCTGCCCCCTTTTATCTCGGTCCCCTCCAGCTTGCATCCTTTGCCTTTGGAATCTTCAGGGTCAGGCGCAGATTGGGCAGTTTCAAAACGGCGCAAGGGGCACACTGCCCAGTCCCTGGCTTCTCCTTCTCTTCACCACCCTTCCTGGCTGGCCCTGGCCTCAGGGGCTTGTGGCCAGAAGGGGGCCTTTGTCACCCTGTGCATCACCACTATGGAAAAGGGAGCGGTACCATTGCTTTCTGGGAGGGGAAGGAAGGAGAGCATTGATGAAGTCTCCTGGAGGTCACTGCCAAGGATGGCAGAGGTTCCTGAACCTGCAGCCTTTACACAGTAGACTGAACCTTTCCCAGAAGGCTGGCACAAAGTCCCCATCCCCATGGGTAGGCTCTCTCCTTCACTGCCCTCTCTGAGAAAGGACAGCACACCCTTGGGAGAGGGGGAGGAGGGAGACTGAGCACAAATCCACTGCTGGAAATTACTATTTAGCAGAGAAGCTGGGCCTTGGGCTGTGAATCACTGCAAGCTCCCAGATAAGCTGTGGCCTCCAGCCCTGCACAGCTGTCTGTTGAGAGATAACAGCCTCCTAAGCCTCTCTGCCCAACTCTAAATCAGCTGAGGGGGTGGGGCGGTGCTGTGTGCTGGAAGAGCTCTGGCGAGTAAGGGGAGGGCGTTTAGCCCCGGATCTCAGATGCAGGCCCCCACATACCACCCGGCAGCACCTCTGGGAAGGAAGAGATAAGGAAGAGTGTAAGTCATTTTGCTGGCAGAACCCCGAAATAAATCCTGCTGCTGCCAAGAGGTAGGTTTTGCAGCTCATGGGAGGAGCCCTTAAGAGGAGTCCCCCTTTCCCCCAGTCTCCCTGCTGGAGCTTTGGATCAGTGAGCCCTGTCATCTAGATTTTGTCACTGGTTGTCCTCCCCAATTTCCTGTTCTTGAGGCCCTGGAGGGGGCCAAGGGGTGTGTGTGTGCTTGTCTGACCTCTCGGGTGGCCCAAGAAGCCTGGAAAGAATGTAAACTGTCCTGACAACTAAAATGCGCTGGGCTGCTCCTGGGCTCCGGCATCTAAAGTAGGTGATAAAACTTGGAAGAGGTCCTGCATGGGAGAAGATTAAGGGAGATGGGTCTCGGTCTGGAAAGGGGCCAACTGTCTAAGACCAGAAGTGGTCTAAAGGACTGATTGTCAGGTTACCAGGACATGCAGGCAGAGGCTGCTGGTCTTGTCAGGGAGGTAAGGCTGCAGTGGCTTTCTCTTTTGATGGGTCTGGAAGGTTCCCTTCCAGCCTAGAAACTCACCCTGGAGGGTAGGGAAGAGAGGGACATGTTGTTTCCCCAGCTTCAGAGCCTTAACCTACCCCATGCCAGAAAACAGGTCACAGAATTTCTTTTTTGCACCCCCCACCCCACCCCAACAGGTTTGGTTTAGATAGGTGTGCTGACTTACCAATGGAACCCAGCACGCATGAGCACTGCACCTCTGTCTCACTGATCCTCTGGCCCGGCTGACCTAGGCAGGCTCCAAAGGAAGGTGACAGATGTTCTCTATCCCCTCCCTGCCACCGAGGCCGAAATGGAAGCCTGAGAAGTCCTAGAGTAAGGGGTGGGGGTGGCTGGGGAGCACCTCAGAGACAGGGCCTGCTTCGGGAGCCGACTGGTGGCAGAATGGGAGATCCCCCCATAAGACTCCATCTTTCCAATAGTGGCCTCTATCCAGGAGCTTCCTGGGCCCAGCCTGGTGCTTCCCTCAGCTTTGCCTCGGGACACTGCCAGGCTAGGAGTGGCAGTGAAGCCTCTCACCCAGAACACTGTCAGGTCACAAAATCAAAATCCATCTGGGAACATCAAAGTACGTAACATAAGGCCAGAGCTCGTGGTTGGATGGGTGGTGGGCCTTTATCCACTCAACAAGCAAGCGTTCATTGTTGTGCCACCTCCCAGTCTAGGCACAGGGTGGGACTGGGGTGTAGAATCACAGGATAATCAGACATTTGTTCCTGCCTCAAAGACAGTCAAGTCTAGTACGGAGAAAGAAAAGTAAGAAGTTAAGGCACAATGTGATGATAATGGGAGAAGGTGGGAGCTCTGAGTTAAGGGACACTTAGCTCACCCAGAGGTGCTGATGGAGCTGGTTCTCCAAACATCAGAAGGAGTGAACCAGCGGGCTGGGACTGGGTAGGACGCAGCACAGAGAGATGCTGTGTATGGTTTGGTGTCTGAAGGATCGAGTAGGTGGCAGAGGGCAGCGTGTAGAGAGGCAGGTGGACTGGAGTGCGGGGGGAGCCAGGCCACAGGGAAGTGAGCTGGCCGAGGGAAGTCAGCCAGTGCCCCGGGCCCTGGTCTGATCGGTGTTTGAGAAGGGTCCCTCTGACACCTGTGTAGGTGGGAGGTGGATCGGAAGGGGCCTGACGAGGCCCTGGAGGCTACAGGGAGGTAAGAGATGAGAGGGTGGCAATGTGGATGGAGATGGGGACAGATTTGAAAGCTACTCAGGCTAGGTAGGATTTCACACCATTACAGCCAGGAAAGGGGAGAGCTTCTCCTTAAGTATTAACCCTAGCGCTGGCCAAGACTTGGTCTGCCTTTCTGGCATCCTGGGAGACATGCTGTGTCAAGACCAAACAATGGAGGGTTTTCTTCTTTTTTTTTTTTTTTTGCTGGGGGCAGGGGTCCGCAGCTTCAAATTGGTGAAAGCTTTAGGAGCTGTTGTCCACTGGCCATGAATCTGCCAGGGTGTATTCGCTGCACAGTTGGGGGAAGACCTGGGCCAGACACACACTCATCTGCCACCCTTGCCCTCCATCGCCCAGGCCCACGAGTTCAGCAGTTTTGGTCACTGCTGTGCCCACAATGGCCACTAGGGATGCTCTAGTCCCCTCAACATCGCAGGCCTCCAAGAGAGTTGTAATTAAAGAATGGGGGGAGGAAGGAAGGAAGGAGAATTCACCCATATTCTTAGACAAGGTAGCATGAGAAACAGTGCAAAAAAAATGTAAAAGGAAGGGAAAATTCAGCCACAGGAGGGTCTCCTCAGTGACTTCAGATTTCTTCCTCTCAGAGCACAGATACTGGTTTGTAATTGTGCCTTCATTAGTTCGATCTTTTGGCTGTCAGTCTATCAGTCACCCTGCTAAACTGTGAGCCCATGATTGAATGGATCCTACCTGCCTTGCTCCCTACCCAGCTCCTGGCACATGAGAAGCTGCTGGAGAGTTACTGATTGAATGAAGACTTGCTGAGGCCAGGTGCGGTGGCTCACACCTGTAATCCCAGCATTTTGGAAGGCCAAGGTGGCAGGATTGATTGAGCCAGGAGTTCAAGACCAGACTAAGCAACATAGCAAGATCACAAGACCCTCCTCTCTACAAAAAATAAGAAAATTAGCCAGGCGAGGTGGCTCATACCTGTAGTACCAACTACTCGGGAGGCTGAGGCGGGAGGATTGCTTGAGTCCAGGAGTTCGAGGTTACAGTGAATTATGATCGCACCGCTGCACTCCAGCCTTGGTGACAGAGTGAGACTCTATCTCTAGGAAAAAAAAAAAAAGATTTGCTGAGCCAGGTTTCTGAACCGTTCTGGTGTCCAGCTCCATATACAATGGGCAAAGCTGCCCCCAGCCCCACCACAGCCCATCCCATCTGGGCCCGTGGTTTGTCTCTCCAGCTTGAGGATTCTGGGGTTGCTTCTGACACCTGATTATTACAGGTGCTGTGAGTTGAATTGTATCCCACCCCCCAAAAGCTATGTTGAAGTCCTAACCCCTGGTACCTGTGAATGTGACCTTATTTGAAAATAGGATCTTTGCAGATTTAATAAAGTTGTAAATTAAGAAAATAAGATGAAGTCATATGAACTAGGGTGGGCCCTTAATCTAATATGACTTAATTCAATGTGGGGTCATTATAAGATAAAGGAGAAGAGACAGAGCTACGCAGAGGGAAGAATGCCACATAAAGATGGAGGCAGAGATCGGGGTTATGCAGCCGTACGCCGGGGAACACGAGGTTGCAAACGGCAGAAGCTGCGGAACAGGCATAGAACGGATACTTTGCTAGGGTCTTAGAGATAGCACGGCCCTGCCCTACCTTGATTTCAGACTTCTAGCCTCCAGAACTGTGAGAGAATACATTTTTTCCTTCTGGGTTTTAAGCCACCCAGCCGGTAGTGCTTCGCTGTGGCGGACCTTCGCACTGCCTCCAGCGGGAACAGGGAAAGGAATGTACCGTGTTTGCCAAGGCCCTGCTATCAGAGTTTGCAGCCCTGCATGCAGGGGGTCTCTGCTCTGCAGGTTTGTGCCAACAAATGTGATGTCTGGTATTACCTTAAAAGGGATCCTAGGCTTTGGAGGAAGTCAGCGTGACTGTGACTTGGGCAAGTTAATGCTTCTCTGAACCTCAGTTTTCTCATCTGCAAAATAAGCCAGATTGCTGTGGGCATAAGGGAGGTAATAATACCAGGCCTCCCAACCTTGGCTCATTGTCACAATCACCGAGGACGCTTGTTAAAAATACAGAT